AGTAAATGCCAGATAATGAAGAGACTCTCTGCTTTTGCATTCTCGACTAATTGAGTTTTGTGGATAATCTTAGATTACGAATTGTCACTTAAGAGATTCAAAATTCAACTCTTTTCTACTTTCCTTTTAGGCATTTCCAAATGGCGTTGCCAGCTAATGTTGAATCAACTGGTGAGACTTGAGGTTTATTTCTTATAGATATTCAAACGGTTGTTTACTCTTTCATTTGCATCTCGTAACTTGTTTCTTTGTGTTCTTCTGTATTTGTTTATAGTGGCTATGAGTAAAGCTTTGTATACAGAGCTATGGAATGCTTGTGCTGGACCTCTTGTAACTCTACCCCGCAAAGGGGAGCGAGTTTATTACTTCCCAGAAGGTCACATGGAGCAGGTAGCTTGATTGTTACTCTTAACAATTGATCTACATGATCAATTGTTAAACTACTTTTCATTATATGTCCTTATCAATATTTGATTATGGTTCTGACAATGCAGCTTGAGGCATCAATGAATCAGCGCTTGGACCAGCAAATGCCTTCTTTCGACCTTTCATCTAAGATTCTCTGTGAAGTGACTAATGTCGAGCGCATGGTAGGTTAATTTCCATAATATACTGCATGGTTTCTTTCTTACCATATGGAATTTGCTGTGTGACACATTGTTGTGCTTCCCTTTCCATCTTCAGGTAGAGCTTGGAACTGATGAAGTGTTTGCGGAGATTTCCTTGGTGCCAAAAGAGGACGTATGTTATTTTTTTTTTCGAAGCTTAGTAGTGCATCATGAATGTGTACATATGACAATTATTTGACTAACTCTCGTAAAACTATTGTAATTTTTTGTCATTAGGAAATTGCACCCATCATCCCAAGTGTCCCTGTCCCAGAGAAAAAAAATCTCAACGTACAGACATTTTGCAAGACCTTGACTACTTCTGACGCCGGCAAGCGTAATGGTTTCCCAGTGCCAATGAGGCTTGCAAAAAATTGTTTTCCACCTTTGGTCTGAATTAATTCTGCAATTTGAATCTATTTAGAAAACCATTTCAATATTGTTTGTTTTAATAATACTTTTGACTTCTCTTTTCTAGAAAATCTCCAAGGAAAAGAAAAAGGAAGCACCATCCCAGTACCTGGTTCCAACTGATTTGCAACAAAAGAAATGGAGTTTTCATCACATTTTTTACAAAGGTTAGAACAAAATGATATCTACCAGACACGTGGTTTGCTTCTGGTCTTTTAGTTTTGGTTCGACTACCCTAAAGCTAGTGAAACTTTACAGTATTTTGCATTGGTGTTGTTATTATTTTCATGTTGATGTAACATCAATGATATGCTCATGTGTAGGAAAATCAAATCGCCATATGTTGAATGCTGGCTGGAATAATTTTGTTGACTCGAAAATGCTGGTGGCTGGTGATGTTCTAATATTCGCAAGGCAAGTTCTTGTGGATTTTTTGTTTCTTCATCGTAAATGTCTGTACAATTAATATAAATTTCATTCCTCAGGGCTGCAAATGGAGACCTCGGAATTGGCGTCAGGAGGGTCATGAGACAACAAGTTAATATGCCATCATCTGTGATCTCAACTGAAAGCATGCATTTTGGGGTCCTTGCTAATACTGCTCACTCAATTAAGACAAGATCAGTGTTTAAAATCTTTGTGAAACCAAGGTTGATCTTGCACTTGTCTCGTTGAGCTGAAACAGTTAGATTTACACACATGAGCCATAGTTTCCAAGTCCTTATCTTGTGTGTTTAATAGACATTGTTGAATGCATATGCTTTGGTCGATAACCGTTTGGCTGCCTTTCTATGAATCAGGATAAGTAGGCCAGAGATTGTCGTGAGCGTCAATAGGTATAATGATTCTAAGAACCAGCAGCTCTCTGTAGGGATGCGATTCAAGATGAGATTCGAGGGCGAGAATACTCATGAGAAAATGTATCATCATTTCCCTAACCAAATTGTTTTTTTTTTTTTTTAAATTTCCCAAAGCTGGATGTCAGTTTTAAATTCTTGAATTGTATGCTCTAACATTACAGGTTTACTGGTACAATAGTTGGTGTCCAGGAAAATACATCTCAGGTTTGGACCGATTCAGAATGGAGAGCACTAAAGGTAAGTATATATCTTAATGTAAGACTTTGTGTTTGGATCACTCCAAAACTTATAATCATAAATGTTTCAGGTTCAATGGGATGAGCCTTCTTCTGTCTTTAGGCCTGAGAGAGTCTCCCATTGGGAGATTGAGCTTCTAGTTGGAAATAATAATGTTCCTTCACCACAATCCCAGCCTCGACAAAGGAACAAAAGATCAAGAACTCTTGGTGTGCCTTCCCCAACCGCTGGTCCATCTGCTTCCGGTACTTTCAAATCATTTCTTGTTTTGAGCTATTCGGCTTGCGTGGTAGTCTTTATTGATGTCCTCTTCATTGACCTCAGGCCCTGCAGGTTCACTTTCTGCTGTGACTTTGTTCCGTCCTTCTGCGACTTTTGGTCATGGTGGGAGAAGCTTGAGCCTTTGGCCAAACCGTGTGGATATAGGAGCTGAAACCTATACTTCTGCCTTTGTGAAATATTCAGCTGTAAAGAAGCAGGCTCGTGGAAATAGCTGTAGGCTTTTTGGGGTTGAGCTTGTTGAAAACAACAAAACCCCTGAGTGTTTCTCTCCTGTCACTGTGCCTGTAGCTGCTGGAGTTGATCAACTTGCTGCCGGAATGGTAGCAACAACAACTGAAGAGAGATTGGAGAAATAATAATAATAAGTAGAGTCAATGTCTAGACTCTAGAGTCTGTTTACCAGTTTAAGTCTTGTTGGGTCTAAGTCTTTTTAGTTTATTTGCTTTGCCTTGTTAAGAGAGACCTTGAGATTCTTGTTTTGTTCTTAAATCAGTGAATAAAATGTCTCGTTTGCTTCATCTTATATGTCTCTTTTACTCATGAGTATTCATCAAATCTCACCCTTGAACTTACAGAAGCAAGATATCAAAATTACATCCAGCTTTTATGTTTGCTTTATATCATTTCACGGGTAATAATATGTTATGATATATATTGTGCTAATGCTACTTATTGATTTCATGTGTTATAGCAAGATAATGCTGTGTTTGTTTTCGCAGAAAGTGAGATATATTGATTTCTCTGTTGTCAAAGTTATGGTGTGTATCTTCTTGTTTTCTTGGGGCTGATTTGCTTAGGGCGGTCACAATTTTTCATGAATTCTGCATGAACACAGAATCCATGATACACAGTTACCTAACCAGGTTGAGGAAGAAAAAAGCAGAGCAAGATCCTAATACTTGTCCACTAGAATTTCATCAGTTGCGAAGAAACAACAAAGACGATATTATTCATGATCATCCCCCACATTCAAAAGCATATATGGTATTGTCAGTTTTATGCAAACTCCATTTTTGGTCCATAACAGTGAAACAAAAAAAAAAGTGAACTGATGATGATAAGAAAATGAAAACATGAGTGAAGAAGATCAGGCAAGAGGATCCTCCTCTCTAGCCTTCCGCAACAGCTCTGCTCTAACCCGCTTTACCTCCGCTTCCTTCTCCATTCTTTCTTGCTGCACATTGATTAACAGTTTTTTTGTTATCAGATTACTACTAAACTCCAAGAAGAACATACCATCAGTCAGCTGTTTCATATCTCCCTGATCACTACTTAATCAAATGCAATCACCAATCTCAATTTGTTATCAGATTACTACTTAACTCAAAGAACATAGAGTTTTTGTAATCCAATTACAACTCAACTCCAAGAACATCACAATTGTCAAAGTATAATCAGATGTCAAACAAAACCTATAAAGCCAAGATATATATTCTTTATCGAACACTCCATAATCTAGCATTGAGTCAAAGGTAACAGTAATCATGGTAATGATGTAGAAGCTATGCTATACAAAATTCTGCAGAGAGTGAAGAACACAAACGCCACTGAACAAAACCAAGACTCTTCCATGGCTCTCTATCCTAAAATAACAATTTCTTATTCAAAATGGGAAATGAACGAGAAATACGATCAGTCCTAAGGATAATTACACAAAATCGATAGCCTAGGGTTTGACCTCAATCCCAAATCCGGTGTCGCGATATCGAAGAAATTCATACAATCGACACCGAAATTAAGAGAAAAAGAAGTCAGATTTCAGAGTTAGGAAGAGAATGAAACCTTTTCGTCTTGATGAAGAGCGATCCAGACATGAACTTTGTCCATGGATTGCCAGAAGGCGAAAGCAGCCAATGTCATGCCAAAGTAAGTCAAAACCTTCACCATCGTTATCTTCTCTCGCCTTTCCGCTGCTTTCTCACCCAGTCGCAGATCGGGAAGAAGCCCTGGATTTTGCTGTCGCGGGGAGAGATCCAGTGCGGAGAGATACACCTAACTTGTCCTGTGTTACATACTTACAACCGTAGATTGGATCTTCTAAACCATCTTGTCCGTGTAAAATATCACGTGTTGTTAAGATCAGATAGATTTATCATCGTTTTTTTCTTTTATTTTTTCATCTGAAGTTATATTATATTGGACGGATAAACAGCAAAATAGAACTACATGAGCCGACGGACTACAGAAATGTCCCTGGAGCCAAAAGCCGACGGACCACAGAAATGTCCCCGGAGCCAAAACCCAAACAAAGGAGACACACATCGACAAAAGAGAAACCGAAAACACAATCTACCACACCGAAAAACACCATCCAAACCTTACAAGACCAAGTGATCATAACTTATCAAAGCAACTATAGAATGATTTATCATCGTGTTATCTCATTTTATTTTAGAAAAAATGACATAAAAAAAACTTCAAAATAGGACAATTAACATTTTTTTTTTTTGA